GTCTCCTGCTCTAAGACACTTTCTTAGTCTTTGGAATAACTTCCACAGCCCCCTTCTTCACCCTGCAGCTTTTCTAACTTTCTTTAAAGGATACTGGCACCAAGACATTACCATTGCCCTTGCAACGTGATGTGCAGAGGTTATTCATCCTGCAGTTCTCAGGCATCTTAGGGAGATGTCAAAGAGATATGGCCAGGTTGCCCATAAGGCACAGTGGGTCTTTTCATCAACATTTCAGCTTAAAAGCAAGGCTCAAGCTATCAAAACCCCAAAGCCTTCAGCTCTGCCCACTTAAAACCTTCTGCATTGTCTCCTCTTCTGCTCTCTGCTCTTTCCAAGATAACCTCATGCTTAGATAGAGTGGAAAGGTCTCCACTGGAACTGACTTGACCTGTCCTGCGTCTACTCCCATCAGGTGTGTCCCTGTAGTTTTCCCCTTCTCATCCCAAGAAGTGCCACAGCCACCTCAAATTTTGTCAAGGTGACTTCAAAATGCAGTATAAAGCTGTAAGCACTGTGTCCGTGCTCTGCAGCACAGAAATTCCAAATTTCGAGAGAAACACTGTAAATCAAAGGTCTGTGTTATTTTAATCGACTTCCCGTGCTAGCTGCAGTCTCTGCAGATTTATAAAACCATTTGGCAGCATGCTACACACCAGTAATTACCAGAGCAGGAAACGCTCAATAATACAAAAATAACTCATAGTCATTACACACACAGTGTATGATATGAAGATAGAAAGATTTCCTTCTCTTCTTTATATACCAAACAGAAAAACAAGAAACCTTTCCCCCAAACAAAATAACTCCATGAAATTCTCCCCACAGCACTCCCCACTGCTGACAAATGCCACCAGGGTGTCAGGGAGCCTGCAAAGTACCCTTAGGGGCCAGCTATCACACTTGCCCAGGCTTTCAGTCCTGGAATAATGGGCAATTCTGCAAAACAGATGCCTTGCCCATATGGACCAAAGAGACAAAAGGGCCAAATTCAGCCCTGTAACAAAGCAGCAGCAATGCTCTTGCCTTCACAACACTGCAAGAGTTTAGTTTTTAAACAAAGCATTAGATACATTGCAACCTTCATATAAAATGATCACTCAACCACTCAATTATCACAACCACTCAATTATCACAGCCACTCAAGGGAATTCTGTAGTTTATGCAGCATTTTTAATTACTCTATAAAAAAGGCCCAATTTTGATCTAAGAAGTGACAGTTTGAGAAAATCTCCTAAGAAACAAGACTTTTCAAGCACTGAATCTTTATCAAGGTTTTCCCATCTGCAAGAACAGTGAAGAAGTGAAAATACATAATAAGGAATTTTACCAGGCCCAAACCACGGAGGCCTTGGAAGATGATACACTGTTTGTAGCAAAAAAAATCATAATGTATCTCTATTTAGCATATGCATGTGCACTTATTTGCTCTAGATGCATGTATAATCAGCCCCAGTATAAATTAGAAATCATATGAAGGATTAAACATCAATTGCCTGTCCTCCTACACTTCCCATCCCTCTGCCAGGACCTGATTAAAACATAAGGCACAGTAGCAATGGTTGAAAACAGACTCTGAAATTGAAATAAGAGAGGAAAATAGCCATTTTCTTTTTGTAGCAAAATGTATAAAAGTCACATTAGTATTTGACTGTCAACAAATACCACCATAATCTGAAATTAGGAAATCCGGATGGTTTTAACAGGACCTAAACGGTGCGGAAAAATGAAGATTATTAAAACTTGAAGATATGACGCTTATATTTGATGATGGAAATCAGTGTAATGCAAATAATTGTTTTAATATTTCTCAGGCTTCCCACATATCATAACTATTTCTCAGTGACTAGGAGGGTTTCACACAATCTTTAAGTGTAATCTTTTGCTAGCTTCACCATCTGGGAGTTCACAGACAGCATTTAATCCTACTGGCTTTTTTCCAAGAGACTTACTGTAAGTCTACGGCATGTGTTTCTTTTAACAATCAAATTTGGGGGTTATTTTGGTTTTTTGACTGTGGCTTAAAATAGTCTATTATCAAAATAATATTGGGGAGAACAGGTCTCCAGAGAGCAACAGCACCTTTTATGAGAATAGCTTACAGAGTTCAAACTTTGCATGATGCTTTCCCCAAAGTATGCAGAAACTTCTTCAGAAATTAAGAAATTATGAAAACTTCTATCTCTATGCAGACAAACCATAAAAAAACCAAACTGCTGGTAGAACATAGGGCACCTCATCAGACAAGAAGAGCACTAGTTGGTGAGATGATGCAAGAAAGGGCAGACTAGGAATGAAGGGGGGCAAAGAAGGAGAGCAGAGTATAATTACAAGTCAGGCCATAAAGCCATGATACACTTCTAGGGATATCCCTTACCATTATGCATATGTGTATCTCTAGTTTTCCCATTATGCATATCCAGAATAGCTGCAGTAAGCTTGATTTCTCAGGTCCATTTTTAAAAATATTTTTCTTTGTTTGGTTCTGGATTTTTGGGGAATTTAAAATATCTCAGAAAAATCATGGCCAGGAAGATTATGGGAAGATATGAGAACAGTGTTTCAACCCTTTGCCAACAGTCTGGAGCAATGTGTCTGGGTGTAGAGTCACCCACACAATTCCTACTGCTCTGGACAGAGCCTACTGTATTCAAAGCATATGTAAATTTCATATGTAAATTTCAAACTTCCTACACCTCTGCCCTCCAAAGCAATTATTAGGAACAGTGTTGTCTCTGCCCAAGGCGGGGGGTTGGAACTGGATGATCTTTAAGGTCTCTTCCAGCACAAGCCAGTCCATGATTCTCTGATTCTATTCTGGCAAAGCCCAGTTTCAGATATTTTTTTTTGTTTGTTTTGCTTGGTGGGATTTGTTGTTGTTTTTCTTTTGTTGGTTTTGGTTTTGTTTTAATGCACTGGGAGTTTGCTCCTTACAAAGATTTTGTTAAGACTGGTGGTTTTTCTGAAGGCTCAAGAACTAAGGGCAGAAACCGAATGAATTTAAGGTAAGTGTAACACATGAGTTGCATATAACACTTTGCTAGTGTTTCAGATGCCTGCCAGTTTTGGGGATAAGGATTTCTTGGTGTGTGATCAAACTGCAGTAGTTTGACAAGGTCTAAGAAAACAAAGCATGATGACAATTTCCTTGTCCCCTAATGCTCCACACGTCAAATGGACAGCACAGCCACGCTGGCCACCACAGACTACAAGCTGGCTGAGGAAAATAATATTGCCTCTCTTTAGACAAAACTCTACTGTTTCATGTTGATTAGCCACACAACTAATTAAAAGGAATCATGACCAACGTAATTCACAAAGCATATCTGCCACACTGCAAGATTAGACCAGCTGAAAAAATAGAGCAACATGGCTGTTTTATCTCCTATAGTACTCAAGTCAAGTGGGACCACTCTTAGATATAATTAGAAGTTTTCCATTTTATTCAACTGTTACAAACAAACAGCATGAGACTTCACAGGAGCAATTTCATGGGAAGGGCCAAAGGAAAGTAATAAGCAAAAGAAAACAAAACACTTTCAAGAACACAACTACCTCCCAGTATGGCAACCTGCTGAGCACACTGAATAAGGAAAGTCTTTGTTTCAGACAAAGGTCATGGGTTTGTTTTCTTTAAAAACCTGTCTAAAATGGCTTTTTTCAAAACATCATCTAATAGGTCATTACCAGCACATACAGATGAAATCTATACTCTCAGCTGTGGTGCACGTTCCTCCGCTGCTAACACCAGCTAAGGCAGCTGCTCACACAGGAAGCCCCCACTTGCAAGAAGGCAACACTAGTAATGGTCCTACTTCCATAAGGTGTCCAATTCTTATGTCCAGATTTCTAGACCAAATTGCTGTTCACAGCTAGTTGAGTGGAAACACTTCTTTAGCTACATTGTCAGACTATTCTGCCATTCGATGGACACATTTCACTCTTTTGTAATAGGAACTGCATCCATGAAACATGGAGGACAAGAGGGATAGAAGTCAGCTTTGCAGTCTCATCAGCCACTTCACCTCCTTTTTCAGAAGACATCCTACACAGCACACGTGAGGAGAGGCTCTGACAAGGCAATGTTTTCTATAGAAAATCCTTCCCATCAGGGGCAGACACCACAGACGGATATAGTCCCCACTGCAGAGCCATGCTACCACCGGCTTCCTTGTCCACAAAAAGTAACCTCACTGCTGCAAAATGAAAGCTTTTGTAGCTCCACATCTCTGGGCAGCAGAGCATAAGGTGAACAGACAAAGGCAACAGGGAGGGCCTTTCCTGCAACCCATCCAAAGCTGATCAAGGGTACACACAGCTTACACAGCTACCTGGAAGTATGTTATTTCTAACACCTCAAGCTATTGTTCAGATTTTGTGTTGTTTCCTAAAACAACAAGTTGGAACTATTTCACCTTTGTTTTTGAGCCTCCAGTCACAGTTCCTCCCATAGCCCCACAGATGTACATTGTTTCAGACGCAGAAGAGTAATAGTTTATAAAGAAGTTCCAGCAGGAGCATTCCCAAACAAGCTTATTTTGTGCCTCATATATAAAAACTCTCATCTCTTTCCACACATTCCAAACATGCTTTTAACTTTGGTTAAGATAAGCTCTCTGGCAAAATGCTACGACAGCTCCATATGGAGTCAGGTCGCTCACTTGCACTGTGACGTGCTACTGTGAGCACCAAGCGCTTCTGCACTGCGAGTGCCTTCCTCTGCACAGAAAACAAATCCCACCTGCTCTAATTCCTTGAGAGCATAACTACTTCCTTGTCAACACTTTAGTTCCTCGAGGTCTTGCTAAAGACCTCTCAAGGGAAAGAGTTTTCAGATTCCATTCTTATTTTCGAAGTCAACACCACTTTGCTGCTCCCCCAGACTGAGATATTTGTTCAGCGATTCTTTATGACTGATCCATTCAGGAGTCACAGATCTTCCCTGCCTTCTGACCTGCCTGTAACAATGCTGGCTTGTTTACTGTAGTAGGATGTTCACTTGACTTTTGTGAAGTCTTTTTCAAACAGTAATCTTGCAACACTGGGGAAAGCGGTATAGAGCCCCACAGGTCTGTGATGCTTCTGAGGTGCTGTGACTCTCAACAGAAGAGACAAAAAAAACCCCAAAAAAACCCAAAAGGTATCTGGATATATTTCTTCTGCCTTTTCCCTTCTGAAATAGGAGTTAAAATATTACACAAGAACTGAAAGACAAAGAATAAGATGTTACATGATGCCAGCAGTAATTATTTTTCTTCTTGGTGAGGTAGCTTCCTCAATTCTTTCTGGGGAAAAGCTCTTACTCTGGAATACCATAAAATAAGCGCATTCATCTTTAAACAAAAGGAAAAAAATTGCCTTCTGCAACGTTTAAATATACGCTCCTAAAATGAAAATACTGCCCACCATTAAAAGAGCCTTTTTTTTTTTTAAAGGAATTTAAAAGAGCCAGCTACACCACCAGTCCCAGCAGCAGCAGTCACATTTCAGCCGATAACACAATCCCAATGCAATCCTCTGGGCTGCAAAGCCCTGAAGAACCATGTGCAGTGTGCATTAAGTTGTTCCATGCCCATGTTTAGACACACACACCTGAAAGGATTATGCTCATTCTTTGTTTCCATTTAAATGCTCTTAGCTTCAGATTTCTAAATTATGCTGTGCAGCAAGAACTAGAAACTTACTGCTGGCTGTGAGAGTTTCTTCTTCTCTTGATTCCAGCACTTTTTCAAAGACAGATGAGCAGCGTTACCAAAATAGTTCTTTCTCCCCTCTACGAAAGCACTTTGCAGAACTAGCTTGTGATTTAGGAATCAGACACTTTTCTAAAACCAAGCAAGAATGGAATTACAGCTAATCACATTAGCCTATAACTTTTTTCCCCTCTAAAAGCAGGATTAAAGGCAGAGATGGGGAACTTCCCACATTCCCACACACCAGCTGCATTCTTCCAGACTCAGCTTGCTGAACAGCTAATAGAATTACCATCCACAGACCTAGGATTTTCAGGGATTACTCTGGAAAGGTTGCCAAAGGAACTAACTGGACTGTAATTCCTGGCTTTGCACTACCAGAAAGGGATAGAAAGATCTTAAAACTACACTGAGAAGTACCCTAGAGGGAGCCAGGGCCTGAAGAAGATTTTGTAAGGGCTGTGGCAACACTGATCTTGAAGTTTATTGAGAGGAACAACAAAATGAACTGAAATCCCAGGTCTGGAGATGCGATTAATGAGAGCAGTGACAAAGTAAGGGAGAAGGAATTGCCCTCCAAGACTGATGTTGATTTACATTTGTTTGAAGAGATGTATGTTTTAATGCCCTATCAATTCCTGCATTATTGTTGAGAGCATGTATGGCTAAGTTCTAGTCTTCAAATGACCCATGAAAATAGCTGAAAAACAATTTTTTTTTTTTTGTTCAAAGGGAAAGACAAAGAAGGGGAGAAAATTTTCTATTTACATGCTTCAAAATGTAAGTCACCATATCAAACCAAACATATATAAAACTTTGACATTTGTCATGACATAAACAGCAATAATCACTGAGGTTAGCTTTATGATTACTGTTTTCTATTTCCAAATACCAAAATCTAAAGCCATACTCCACTCCCCATGGCATTACAAATACAATGCAAGGTTTCACTGTACAACTTTTAAACTCTCTAAAGGATAAGCATTGCAAGTTTTAACTTAGGAAATTAGAAGTTTTCTTTTTTTACCATTTATTTTCAAGGATTTGATCTTTCTCAGACAAGACACCTACAAATAAGGTCAGTAAAGAGAAACAAAAACTAGTTCAGATAAATCTCATTTCAATCCCAAACTTTTAGCATTCATTCACAAAACAAAGATTATTAATACCAATTCAGAAGAAAAAGCACTTTCTTCAAAATGAGGTTTTAAAACACACAACCAGCAATTTAAGGACCTTAGCACAGGATTCTTCCAAGCATCATGGACTGCTGAACAAATAAAAAACCCAGGACACTCACTCAGCCTGCCCAGGCACTAGTAAAGACTTGGAGGCATGGAAGTAACAGTGGGAGGGATGCAATGGAATAGAGGAAGAGGCACTAAGCTCTCCCACCAGCCCCTGGAACCAAGGGAGCTGCAAGCCTTTGCACTCTGGGGCAGGAGCAGAGCTGTCCAGCCACTCCCCGAGCCTGGCCAGCAAGGCAGAAACCTTTAACACTGGGGTCCTTGCCTTTGAAATCGATCATTCTGTGCAACCCCAAAGCTGCTGAACAGGACCCTGCTCTCATTTACAATGGCTGGGGCCTGAATCAATTTAAGGAGTGCTCTTCCCAACCAGAAAGAAAATTGTTGCTGTCCATTATTAAGTTTCACAGCTTCTTGCCCTCTCCTCCCCAGACAGGCAGCAGAGAAAATGAATCAAAAAGAAAAAAGTCCGCAGCCAACAATAAAATGGTAACTTCCCTCAAGAGAGAGGGAGGAAAAAAAAACCCAAAAAACAAACAACAACAACAATAATAACAATAATAACAATAATTTTTAAATATTAGTGGCACTTAGTTGTGGGGGAGGGGGGGATGTTGCCCAAACCCACCTTTCACTCAAACTGTTTCAAAACCTAACAAAACCCATGGGTTCACATGGTGACCTTCCACATCTGGGAATATACAGGGATCTCTTATGAACAGCAAGGTAACTTATCTCTTCACAAGAGTTCTGCACAAAATGGAGCACTGCTCAAGTTACAAGAGCTGGAGATGTGTCCTCAGTCCCACCTCCAATGTAAAACTCCACCAAGGACCAGATTGTTAGTTATGACTGACAGGTATTTTACAGCATTACAAACATGCACTACGCATCATCTGTTTCTGAGGAGGTCTCTAACACATACCTAAAGATAGAAAAATCATACTTGGCCTGAATGAATCAATGTTGGCAGGAGAAAAAAAAAAACAGTGATCTGCTGCAGAACTTGGCTGGAGCTGGATCTTTTTTGCTCCTTGCAGGGAGTTTGGAAAGCAGAAATTATCATAACAGGACACAAAGGACACAGAAATAAATCAGGGAAATCCAGAAGGGCTCACAGTGGGGAGCAGAGAGGAGGAAAGAACTCATCTCTCGTCTGCACCTTTATGCAATGGAGTAGATACACAGACAGGACAGCACAGAAAGCACTTAGATGTGGGACTAGCAGATAGAATAAAAGAAGAAAATACAGAGCTATGTCTATGGAGGGACAATCTCACAGACCTCTAATGCCAGTCCAAGGACATTGTGCTGCAGGATTTCTGGAGCAGTATATGTATCAGATACAATCAAAGCTCAGTGTATTTCTCCCTTTACTGTAGCAGACCACCATGGAAAGCATAAAGACAACGGCACATGGTCTTCTACTACTCTTCCCTCCCCACCTTTTCTTCCTGAAATCAGGCAAAACTGGCTGTCTCAAATCACAGTTTCAGTGTCATTATTGTTGCCTGCAAAAGAACCTGAACAGAAGCAAAACAATCAGTCAAGATCGACTACATCTTAGGGTAGCACTTTAGAAAGAAGAAAGAGGGAGGGGAAAAACAAAGATTAGAAATGGTTATTCACCTTGAAGCCACAGTCACCAACTGGACCTCAGACCTGCTTCCATAAGAGGGAAAAGTGCAGAGCCTACAGGGTCTGACATCATTTATAGAGTTAAAACAAGCTGGCACTATGATAAATGACAGCAATGGACAGACAAATCTCCCACACCAGAGGAGGGAGAGGCTGACACGATCTTGGGGGAACCAGACCCATTCAACTCCTGCTTGTCTTGGAGATGGTGCATTTAGGTCCCCATTTGGGCCACACAAGATTTTCAGTCAAGCTGGAGGTTCTCTGCAGACACAGCACTGCCCATACCTCTGTCCCTCCAGCAGCTCTAGACTCCCTAGAGAATCTAGAAGCAGATTCTCTCCCACTTAAGCCTCACTGTGTGGGTTACAGATCCCAGACAATGAGTGAAGTTGTAGATTTGCCACCCTACTTCATGCCAGGAAGTTGCCTGCTGGCCACAGCCCCCTAAAACCTCTTCTTAATTGAGTTTCTTTCTTAAATCAGTGTGATTGCTAAGTTATCTACAGGGTTCATATTTTGGCATACCCCAATTATGCATTGACCACCTACTTTCCTGCACTATCTACTGTACTTCCTAATGCTTCAGCTTGGTGTTATTGTTGTCCTTTCCCCACTCAGATTCCAGGAATTAAATCATATTGTGATCAAGAACCACAGAGATCCCTTTGGCTGGCTTTACCCTAGCACTGCTTCCCCTGACAAAATACTGTGTACCGCATTTATTTGGAGAATGTTCAACTTTTAAGACAAACACTTGCCTTATACAGTACTGGGAAGAGAAATCACACCTGCCTCCAGCCATTTTATGAGCTTCACCTACTGAACAGCTCATGCAGCATCAACCACTTAGCAACCATGGCATTTATAACCCCAAGCACAGCTGGCAGCACCTACTAGACAGCAAGTGTGCTGCTGGCTGAGGGAGATAGGGGTGAAGAAGCCAAAAGGCTTCAATGGACCTGCTGGCTATCTCCTACTTGCTGGACCCTCTGTAATTACCATGCAATAAAACTTCCACCCCATGTCGGCTGGATTTGAGGGACAGAGCAGCTCAATACAAGCTGGGAGTTCTCTCACCAGCTCTGCCCACTGTTTTGGCCCTGAGCACTTAAAACTGTGATCTACTCCACCTGACCTCTGATCAGGAAACCACTCTGGATAATATGTGTGCTAGAGCTGGACATCCCAAACATACCCTACCAAGCAAATGTGACTGGCCAAATGGGAACCAATTTGAAGTCATCTTTCTCTTTCTCTTGAAGAAAGAAAAAAATCATTAGAGACAACAAAAGGCACAGTTAATATGATGGTGCTGCTGTCCAATAGGGCCTCTTGCATTTTTAGCAAGTTCAGTCAGAACAGAAACCCAAGGGGAAGTGGATAAAGATCCAGGTTAGATGTAGTTCAGGAGCCTACATCTTCCTTGCAAATGCTGCTCCATCACAGATATAGCACCTACCCCAGCCCCATGCCACATCAAAGCAGCTATGTCTGCTCTGCCTAAATTATCTCCCTGCACTCATTAACAGCACTCCCCCACTCCAAGTCTTATTTGGGATTCAGCTCACAAAGCTGACTTAACCCATCCTTCAACCCACAAACCATATTTCTTTCTCAAGTGGCACACAGCTCCCATCACAGGAATGACCTGTGCTTTGCAGCACTGCTTTCCTTTCAAGGTCAAACGTGTTTCATTTGCTCACACTCACAGGCTCAAAGCAGCTCACCCCGAGGGGCACAGCCCTGTGGGTTCACTTCATGCCGTGGTGATAACTGTGCCAAGCCATTCCCATTACACCTATCCCAGGTGATGCAGCTGCATCAGAGACAAATGAACAAAGCTGGAGTGCTTGCAGGTAGCATCTGCTGACAGTGCAGAGGCAGGAGGGAACACAGGAAGGCTGCCTGGGAGGACACAGCCATGCTCTGCTGTCGGCTCAAGCAAGCCTTTCAGAAACATGTGAGACAGCACTAGTCTTAAGCCTCTGAGGGATTGGCAATATAAGAGAGCTTTGAGGGATGAATTGCATACTTGTCCCATTAGGAAACACATTCGTGCAACTTAGATAGTATTAAAAATATCTGAGCATGATTTACATTTTTTATCCTGTTTTTATTTTTCTCCTTTCACCCCTGTAAGTTCTACAAAATCAGAGGCCACATAGGAAAAGCCAAGTACACAACAGCAGGAAAAATAACTGTGTCATCAAAACACAGAACCTAAAACCTGAGATTCATTTTCTACATTCATATCAAATCTCTTGCCAAAGCTTATCCTCACTGCTGCATTTTTTTCACTGGGAAGAACCAGTACATTTACACATCTACATTTTTCTCCAAGGTTACTCTGAAATTATTATTTGCAATGCACTTGGCAGATTAGAGGCATTACATAAATATTAGATGCTATAGCATAAGGTCTTACACAAGTAAAGGGATTTCTGAAGGTCTTAAAATTATCATGAGGTTTCTGTAGGCTGTTTTATATGAAGCCAGGCTTAAACAAGAGCCAGGCAATATAGATTAAAGTTAACATTATAATATGCATAGAAGAATAATTCATACAGAGGAAGACTTTTCAGGTGTCTCAAGCTACATATATGGGACTTGAGTGTTCAGTTCATTCATCAGGTACTACTCAGTCTTATGTTCTGAACTACAAAAAGAAGAAAATATTTTCATCTAGACTAGGAGAATTGCAAACAACTTTTTAAGAAGTTTTAAAAGGAAAGTAATTCATTAGTTCTGTATACATAAACTGACAATCAAACAGAACAAGATAAAAAGAAGTATTCCTTTCCCCACGAGTCTCATCCTCCTGAAATTTGTACCAAACAGAACACGCACAAGAAGTGTGTTTACCGATGGGTATGAGTCATGCTCCCAGGGGAGGGTTAGAAAGACTATCACTTCCAATTCATAGGAGCAGGACTGTGGTGTTGTTATCTTCTATTAATAAGAAGCAACAGGGATTAGAATAAGCAATCAGTAGCTGCATGCCCTATGCTATCCTCCAACATCAAAATATTCAACCCAGGACAAACATTTTTTTGTGTTTTGCCTCACCTCAGCTGACAGATGTATTAAGCTTTCACCTGCTTCATAACATTATTAAAATACTTAGCATTTGAATAAATATTTTGGTCTACACAGCACATGTAAGGTAGAAGAATGCTTCTGTGCCATCTTAATTTACTTAAGTATTTATGATCACTCAGAAATATTGGAAAATATTTTAATAAAAACCCCCAGTTAATTCTCATGTACATTCATTTGCAACAAACTAAGTAGCACAGGATGAGGAAACATGATGCAATAGCATCAGCCTTACGAAAAATCCAGAACCTTGAGAAGGAAAATACAAAATATATAAAATCTATAAACTATCCCCTCCCCTGCTTCATTTTGAACTGTAACAACTTGCCACTGTTATAATGCTGTAGAAGGACATGGTCATCATGCTTCACCTACAACTCTGCATTCATTACAGGTCAGTAGTCACCAACATCACAGAGAAAATGTAATTTCTACTGCAGGCCTGCAGAGTAGAGAAACCACAGTATCTGAAATGTAACATCATAGAAAAACAGCCTGGACTTTGTCTCATCAAACAAAAGGTACTGCTGGGCTAATAAATTGACTTTTTAAGCCAAGAAACACACATACCAGCAAAGTCAAGTTTCTGGAAACTTATAACAACTCAGAACTGCAAAGGTATCTGAAGTGTCACCTAGAATTTTTCAAAAAATAAATTTAAAAGGCAAGCCAAATTGTCTCTTGTATGAGGACACAGCCAACATACAATCAAATCTTTCCCCCTGTCCCTGAAGTGTTATTTGATAGTACCTTTTGAAGTTCTCCAAAGATATGGCAGAAAGGCAAGAGCAAAGAGAGGGACACATGTGACACAAAAGCAATCAGCTATGGTCCCTTCCCCAAGATTCATACCATTTAGAAAAGCAATTTGTATAGTATATATACATATTGTGTGTGTACATATATATATATAGTATGTGTATGTATATATAGATATAGTGTATATATATATATTTAGTATCTAGATGATATATCTAGTTTTGTATACTTTATGGTATATATATATAGTTTATATCTATAAATATATAAACTATATATATAGTTTATAGTATAGTTTAGTATATATATTTTATATATATAGATATAGATATTTTAGTACTGGATTTAGACTGTAGGAATATACATTCAAACATTCAAAATGGATGGAAAATGACTAAGCTTGTTTTTCTACCACAAAATGCTACTCAGTTGCAGTTACTCTGCAACTCCACCAGCATAAGCAGCAGGCTAGTTCTTTGTCATTTGCAAATTTAGCATTTATTTTATCGTGCCATATGTAGTCAAGGGAATTCAACTAGGAGAGGAGAGCTCTGCTCACCCTGTTCATCCTCTGGCTTCACAGAGGGAAGAAGATAAAGCAGAGGAGGAAAAGGTGAAAAATACTGTTCTGGGTAGAGTTTAGATGCAGTGAATATCATCAGGGTCACTTCATGCTACATACTCTCTGCTACTGCCTTTACTTTGCCAGTTACTTTCAGAGTTGAACACTAGGGCTGCTTATCAGCAGCGCTGCAGGGAAGAGGTCTTAACAACACCCTGACAACAGCACAAGAAGGGACCAAAGAAGAAATTCCCCTCCCAGTAACAGGACAATCCATGCAGAAGCTCAAAAAGCAGCTCGTGGCTCAGACACGGAAAGCTCTAGAGGAGATCCAGTGCAGCTGCTTGCAGATGAGAGGCAAGGCAACAACTAAATAAAGTGTGAGGCAGATCCCTCCCACCCTCCCTTACTCAAATAAATCACTTAACTTTTCAGAGAGCAGCAAATCTCCTTACTCCTCTGGATTAAAGGCAGACTTACAAGAACATTTGTTAACAGACTACCCTCTCCCAGGGTCATTCCTGATGCACACCAGCTATCCACATGCAGAAAATTATGTTATGCCCTTGTTCAAAAATGAAAAGTTTATTTCTAATAATGATACTTCTAAAGACAACTAAAAAGCTTACTGGATTGTAGGACAAAATTTTAATTTTTCCCCTATGGAGCTTGACAAATATTAGACAAGTGTCTGTGGTATAAGAATATCTCTTTGAAACATGGCCTTTTGCCATCCTGTATGAGGTGAAATGAAATTCAAGGTTTCAGAGCTCCCATGCAAGGAAGAGACAGCAGGACAGAAGACAACTCATTTCAGAAGACAATTTTTAGGCTGCTTACTGACTAAGGAGAGCTGGGTCCCTATGGGCTCCCAGTAAAATGCTAAGAAACACTGATATTTTATCTCAGCACCGAGTATGTTTCATTTGCCTGCCTGTGTGTTTTTTGTAATGACCACACCATTAAAAGAGGGAAAGTTAATAACAAAAAATAAAAACTAGCTTACATTTCACATCATAATATCATAGAACTAAGTAGGTAATTTAAAAAATAAGTTAAAATACATTACATGAATGAGCAATATTGCAAAAATACCAATTACACAAAATGTTCAGTACAAGAGGAGGAAGAAAGTGGAGTGGAGGAGAAATGCTTATTCCAGGGGAGTAAGTCAGATGAACAAGCCCATACCACACAAATGCTAGGGAATAGAAATAGTCAACAGGGTTAGCTACTTTGTCAATATGTTGTTCAGTAAGAAATACTAATCCTCAGGAATCAAAGAAACAAAAGGAATCCCCTAAAAAAGTGCGTATTTTGTAGATAGAAACTGCTTCAGTCCGGCATCAGAAGCAGGTCTAACCCCAAAATGCCTTCTCCAGCTTGGATGTCGACACGACAACATCAAGGAACTCCAGTATCATTGTAAACTGACATGTTTTATAATTAAAGAACATGTACACTACAAATGGTTTCCTGAAACTCAGCCTCCAGGTGACCTATTCTCAGAGCCAGAATTTCTTCCTAAAGATAGTGAGACAGATGCTGGTGCTGGGTGTGGAACATAAATCCACTGACTCAAACCCTGCTGTGCAATGGCTCACAACATCAGGGCAAACACAGTACAGGTGGCACACACTCTCCTTATACCTTCTGGGCCAAAACCCCACCTTCTTAGTCTACAACAATCCTCTCATTAGCTTCAGGAAGTAAAAATCCCTGTGTCCATAGGCACCCCAACCAACAAAACACTGAAATCACTTTTGCTGATTTGCTAAAACATGAAAACACCGAAAGGGCAATAGCTCAGGGAAGCTGCACCTTGGCACACCCCAGGTATGGCATGTCTTCTCTCATGTCTTCATACCTAAGCAAACTAGCAAAATGTGAGTTAAAGAGCTGACCTTTGTGTTACATCACAAGCTGCTTGTGAGGACACCAGACTTCCTCCTAACATTCTCGTAAGTACTTGTATTGTAACAAAAGGCAAATATTGTTCTGACAGTTTCTTAAACAGACATTAACAAAATGCTAAATAATAGCGTGAAAGTACTTTATTCCCTGCTTTACCCAAGCCAACAAACTTCAGAATATGTATACTAGTGATTTCATCTTCCTGGTACTCTTTCCATTTCTTCTCTCTATGTAACTCAAATCTGTTTCAAAAGGAAAACATAGTTTCAACACATATAGCAAGTCTTTGCAAGTATTTTCAGAAAGCCTGGTAATAGCTCAGCACGAGTAAAACAAACAAAAAAAATACTCATATTTGTCAAAAGCTGAGTTTGTCCATATTTTCTTCTATTTCTTTATTCTTTAATGCTTTGCCTTTGGAAAACAAAGCAATTTTGGTGGCACCACTTTCCTGTTAGCTTTTCTGCAGTGAACATTTTGAGATCTTCTGGTTAGAATGAATCCAAATTTTGGAACATCATATACATACTTCTGGGCAGAGGGTAGTAACACATTCACTAGTTCTCTCTAACAAGTACCACCTTTCCCTTAGATCTGCTCCACCAGCACCAGAGCCAGTAACTGCAAGGGAAGGGGATGAGACAAAAAAGCGAAACCAAACAAACTAACAAAAACAACAACAAAAAAAACACCAGAGAAAAAACAAAAGGGCAACTTCTTTTCACATAGATGACGACAGGAACTGAAAAAGCTAGTGCCTTTTTTATGCCTCCCAATTAACCAAGCTGCTCAAAGCTCAAGAGGGAAGAGCAACAAGTATCTGAAAACAATCCTGGTATGTTCTGCTTTCATGACCACCAGAGCCATTTACTTTATCTCCAAATGCTCTCTCCCATCAGGTTTCATCAACAGGGTCAATGAAACCTTCACTCTCCAGCAGTGACATTTTTCTGCCCTGGCAGCGTCAGGTGAAGCTCATGGGATGCACACACCTGGGAGCCAGAGAACCTCCCTTCCTTTGTCACCAACTTGCAATTACAGTTACTTGCTGAAAGCCACAGAACTTCGCCTAAGCTGAAAATAGCAGCATGTACTTATTTCGGTAAAGAAGTGCTTTTTAAGGGACTAATATAGTGGCAGAACAATTAGAGCTTATTTTTAAACATTTAAATTTACAGTTTATAGGGAATTTACTCAGTAACCTATTCAATTCTTTATTTATCTGAGGAGAACAATCCAATTTAAAATTCTCTAAATCTCTCTTTAATTCTCCCATTTCGGCATCCCCAATGATGTAACAACCTTTTAAATAAAGCTAGTGATTGCTCATTAACAATGTGAAGCCTTCACTGTAGTTTTTGCAGTAGTTTTTTTGGGAATTCATGTATGTCTGAAGAGACAACTTGTAGTCTGGAAGGGCTAATTTAGTAACTTCATTAATCTCTGAGTTGGTAGCAACACGGATAGCCAGACATGCTCAAGACTTAGAAACAGTAACAGAAAGAAACCAAATATTGAATCCTGCACCCAGAATCCTCAAGGAAAACAATGTGCCTACCGATAAAGGCATCAAGTGCAAGGACATGCCTTGCCTCTGCAGCTACTCCCACTGCCAGCTGGATGCATCCAAAGGAACACTGCCTTTTGCCTGGCTGCCAAGTCTACAACCAGGTCCTGATCAGACACCCTCTAAAGTAAATACCATTATATGAGTAAGTCAGGGCAACAAACCATTTGGAAAGCCCAGTCTGGGGGCTAGCCAACAGATTTTTTTTTTTTTTTCTTTCGGTTTGGAATCTGTGGTCCTCAAGCATCTCCCCAAACTAGAAAGCACTTTGAGAGAGAGATATGTGACCAGTCACCAGCAGCGAGCACAACGGCTGCCAGGTGCACAGGAAGGTGTTCCAAACCCCACACGTTTCACCATTCCCGGGCAGCGAGAAGAATTTACACAGGCACAAACCAAACCGTGTTTCCTACCAAAAGCCCTTTTTATTCCAGGGTCAAGGACCGAGACCGCTGTTCACCGGCGGGTTCCCCATCCTCGGCCCCGGGGCCGTCACTACGGGCAGGGGAGCCCGGCGCTGCCCCTTCGCCGATCCGGGTACCGGCCACTCCCGCGGGGGCTTTCAAGGGCAACCGACCGTCTGCCTCTTGGGGCTCCCAGGAGGGAACCACACGGAGCCGCGGCCAGGGCCGGACACACGGCGCCGGGGATGCCGCTCCCTCCCCCGGCACCTTCCNGGTTCCATCGCCGGGGCCGGAGATCGCCGCCCGCAGTGCGCTGTCCCTGCTGCCCCTGGGCTGAGCCGGCGCCGTCCCAGCCACGGCAGAGCCCGCTGATCCCGCGGGACAAGACGGCCGCTTGGAGGGTTTGCGTGCCTTCTCCTGCTCAAACACGCCGAGGATATCTTCCTCAGGAAGCCATTTGTTAGAAACAAGAACCTGGGGCGGTGGCCGAAAGCCCTGCTGCCGGCCTGCCGTGGTTTCCCCTGCCGGACGTGCCCGTCCGGCTGCTCCGCTCACCGCAGGACATTTCGGATGCTGCCATGCAGCAAAAGTGAAGGGACTGGCCAAAACCCCTCAGATTTGCGGACACAGATGTTTTAACCTCTTCTTCTTTTGTTATGTAATTTTGACCATGTCATACTCTTTCACGATTAAAAAAAAATAAACTGGGAGGTCTCTTCCATGTGGTGGTCACCCAGATGTGTGGAAGGGTTGCAGATTTCGGTGTGCCAAGCTTTAAGAAAATGTTGGAATGGAGCAGGAGCATGTAGGAAGTCTGACCTCTGAAGCAAGACTTTGTCTGAGCCCTGTGATTCTGCAACACACCCCCCCGAGAGCTGAAGGGCTCACTGAAAGGCAATGACCTCTGAAATTGTAGTGCAGCACTGGAACTTGCAGGAGAAAGCTGGTTAGTTATCATACATGGCATACATGCAGCGGGGATGATCAGCCATCATCTTGCTGGCTCATACTAGAAACTGGCTGCCATGAAACTGAGCACACAGTTACACAGATTTGAAGAATTAGTCTTGTGAGCTTGCTCAGTTTCTGATTATTAAAAAATATCCTGAAAACTGACTTCAAACAATGCCTGTGTTTGCTCCAGGTTCCTTACATACAGACATAAGAAATGTAAAGCTGTTGTGACACTCACCAGTTTTTATGATAAAGCTGTCTACTAATAAAGTCTAGAGAGCCAAAAGTATATTAGAGAACAGAGATGCTAAGAGCATGTTAAGTGCCTTCTAAAATAGAAATGGAAATATATCTACTCCATATTAAGCATAACAGTTACACTTCCTTTAGGACAAGGTATTTATTTTTTCTTATCTCTTGTATAGTCATTTCCAGGGTTGATATTATAAGTATTCTGAAGAACAGTAAACCTCTCTTGGTTTATTTATTCCCAGTTTCTTCCACCCAAGATAATCTCTTTATACTATCTTTTGT